TTCGATGGGGTTGAGGAAGTTTGCGGATTCAGGTGTCTATGTACTTTCTGTCAGATTGAAATCGGGGACGCGAACCCCTGCCTTGAAACCTAAACAGCTTTGCTTCCCAAAGCTGACTCGCAAAGTTAGTTAGGGTTTAGGGTTTAGGGTTTAGGGTTTAGGGTTTAGGGTTTATAGGGTTTAGGGTTCAGGATTCCAGGATTTATAGTACTCTTAACAGGTGTATAATGAGTCCAGGGTTTCTGTTCCATGAAGACCTAAATACATAAACCTACCAGGAATCAATCCACAAGCTTGCTGGTAGTCTGGGCCGGCGTTCAGAGTCTGTATAGGGCCAGGACTTACAGGCCCCAAAACCTTCAACCCCTACACCCTAAACCCCTAAACTCCCAAAACCCTATATTCCTAAGCCCTAAACCCCGAAACCCTGAACCCCCAAACCCTAACCCCTAAACCCTGAACCCCTAAACCCTGAACCCCTGCACCCTGAACCCCTAAACCCCGAACCCCTATAGCAGCGGAACCCGTTGTAGAATACTTCCCGGCCTCGCACCGGAAAGTGCGCAAAGGGTCTGTAGCAGACCTCTGAAGGAGTTCTTTGGGGGGTTTAGGGGCTTAGGGTTTAAGGGTTTAGGGCTTAGTATTAGGAGTTTAGGGGTTTAGGGTTTAAGATTGTTTTCCTTCAAAGCCGTCGTTTCGGGTTGAAAGTTCATGTTTAGGGGTTTAGGATTATTATAAGGGGCCTTAACAAGTAGAATAGGGTTGTGGGCTCCTTCAAGGATCCCTAAGGATGGTAACTATTCAGGCTGCTGTAGTAACTGTAGGTTCCGACCAGCACACATCCTGACTTTAACGCAGGGCTAGAGGTCAGTGTTTAGCGGGCTAGGGTTTGTATATGGAAAGGGGAGGGCACATCGACCGGTTTCTTATTTCCACCTGCGCAGCTGCGAATTTAGCACCTCAGTAAGCCGGCCAACTAGAAAATCGTAACCTTGGCCTTGTGACGACAGCTCCAAAAAGCTTATGACACCTGCAGCAAACTCCAGAAACATCTGTCGAACCAAACGATGGACAACTGCTTTGTCGCTGCTCGTTCCAGCAATGCGGTTGATGATATAAATCCTGCATTACCATTATGACCCTAGACTATGGGAATTATGGTACAGTCCTTAGTACCCATAGGCTCCATAGTAATTAATATGAACCCCAAAAAGGAACTACTATGGAGCCTCTAGGTAGACTATGGGAATTATGGTACAGTCCTTATAAGTGTCGGTAATGCAGGATTTATATCATCCACTGTAGCGCTCGAGGCCCGCAAACCCAAACTTCAAGGAAGATCGATAGACCTGCTACAATGCTTACAAAGAGGGTCCAAGTACTCACTAAAAACAGGACTTGAGGGCCTTTTTGGGTAGCAAAAGCCATAAATAAGGACTACTTTGATCCTTAGGGATATAGCAAAAGGGTCTTGTACAACCTGGCACAGTCCTGCTTGGACTCTGACTGATAACAAACCGTTCGAAGGAACTGCGCAGCCCTAATGGCCCAATTAGAATAGAACCCAGATCGAAACATTATAACACCCTTACACAATCCGTTTTGTTTGTCAACTGTCAACCCAACTTAAATTAAACCCTAAAGGCCTGAACCCCTAAAGCCCTGAACCCTAAAGCCCTAAACCCCTAAAGCCCTAAACCCTAAAGCCCTAAGCTCTAAACCCCTAAACCCTGAACCCCTAAACCCTAAACCCCTAAAGCCCAAAACTCTAAACCCCTAAAATCCCTCATCCTTACGTGCCGGCAGGCTGCCACAACGCTCGGGGCCTGCTGACCAACCGCCACCCATCCAAAACCTCAGGCTCGAATGGGATTGATAATCAGAACAGGGTACAGATTTAGGGATTAGGGCCTAGGTTAAGGATTAGGATAAATATAAGAGCCGTAATAATTAGAATAGGGTTCGTTTAGAGGGGCCTATAAGGGCTACTAAAAGGGCTGATAAACAAGATTTAGTATATGGGCCATAAATAATTGGAACAGGGTTTTGGGGCCCAGTCTTATTGGTAATCATTGAGGACCTTGTATTAAGGCTTCTCTTATAGGGTAAAGTTCAAATGGAGGTTAGGGTGTTGAAAAGGGTTTGCTTGAGGTTGAGGGTTCAGGGTTTAGGATAGGGTTCAGGGGTTTAGGGGCTGAGGGATTTACAGTTTTAGGGTTCATCTGGGTTTGCATGAGCTTTTTATAGGGAGGGTTCAAATGCGGTTGGGTTTTTATAGATCGAGTTTAGAGTTCGAATGGGGTTTAGGGTTCAGGCGTGTGAGGATTTATGGAGTTAGGGATTTTATTGTGTTTGCTTTGGGGGGCCTCTGGTTAGCAGGCAGCAATACGTCAGAAGCTGCCCCCACCCTGTAATAGTGGTATAATAGGAATATAATAGGGCCCTAATATAACAGTAATATAAGCCTTATGGTCACTATTACAGGGTGGGGGCAGCTTCTAAGCAATACGAAACAAACCCTAAACAACCGAAAAGGCTGCATGCTTGCCAACCCTCACTTAAACCCCAACTTCCCCCTCCACTCAAGCCACAATACCCACTGTTCGGACCGCAAGGGCTCTATCCAAGCCCCCGAAGCTCTACACCCTAAAATGGAAGTCTACTAGGTTAGAGGGTTCTTGATTGCTAGTCTACAAGGTTCTTGATCATAGGCAATTGTAATATACCCCCAAACCCTATTCTTTCCTAAAGCACGAACTCATCAGTCCGGGGCTTCGTCTTGCCTTCCTGGTAGAGCTGATACCTTGCATGCGGTGTTGGTGCATTTGGGGCTTCGAAACCGCATCAGACACCCATATGGCTGAGCCCCCACCCGCCTGCAGAGTCCTTACGGTTCCAGGGCTTCTGGGGTTCAGGGGTTGATTCTCGTCTAGGTGGGAGTGGAGGTTGAGCCTTCTCACAACATGTTGGGGCTTGGGGTGTAAGGATACTGGCTTGTTCGCGCAAATCTTAAGGATAAGCATCCAGAGGTTCAGATCTTATCATGTACTGAAACCTTCACCCAAAGGGTCCAAAGTAGGTATATCGGGGAATGTGGGGTTTCTATATTAGGAATTACTATTATGGTTTGGGGAACTATCCCCCGTAACAATACCTAGGACCCTTTGGGTCAAATTCTGCAAGCCTCACAACTCTGGAACAACAGCGTGCATTGCCTCAAGCGCCCTGGACTATGGAAACTATTACATCCATATCTAGATGTATACCCATATCTATACATAATCATATATGTATACACATTTTCATCTATTCTGTATCCGGTTTTGTCGATACTAACCAGGCAACATTTTGTCCATCAGCCCTGAATCCGTAACCACAAACCTAAAAAAATGATAATAGTAGGCCCCATGCAACCCGAACTCAACTTCGAATCACCATTGGATGCAGGTAACCACAAACCTAAAAAAATGATAATAGTAGGCCCCATGCAACCCGAACTCAACTTCGAATCACCATTGGATGCACCCACGCATGGACGCTGAGACATGCACCAGTCCGTTTTCTGAACGGCCTCTTCACACTGCTCAGGAAGGTTGGCGCTTAGGCTTGGAGTTCACTTGGGACTCTTAACGTTTTGGGCCTTGGGCCACCAGAGGCTCCATAGTAGTTCCTTTTTGGGGTTCATATGTAGAATCCAAAAAGGTAATCCCAAAAAGGAACTACGATGCAGCCTATGGGTAACTTCAATCTACAAGAGTTTACGGTTCAATCTCCATACAGAGCTGCGAGCTTCGACGTATCACGGGGGATATACCTAGAGGGTCATGCCCTGCCCCCTTTTTAGGGTATCTAGCTTTTTATGGTTAGGATCTCCTATACAGAAAAGTAGGTACCGTAAAAAAGGGGTAGAGTATGAGCCTATATAGGCTACAGTTTTGAGGTGTCAGCTCACCAAGCATGTTGGAAAGAGGAGCGAACTCGCAGAACGTGAGTCAATGGCCACAACAACAAAGGTAGCATAGTGACTGCTTGCAGAACGGCGCACCTAGAGAACAGGGGTGCGAGAGAACCTTCACGACATTTTTGGGAACAACTCAACAGCAAAGCCTGTAATCATGAACACAACAAGCCTCAAACCAAAACAACAAGAGCACTCAAAACTCTCGCCCGTAACTGTGCATCCTAAGCCACGTCTTAAGGAGTAAACCCTAGGGCCTAGGTCCCAAAAAGCTGGAGTCCGCCAGAACACCGAAACCCCAGAAATCCAAAAACCCAACATTCCAAAGAAACGAAGAAACACCAACATAGATGTATAAAACGTACCAGTATGATTTATACCCAAGTAAACGAAAACAACTGAGACGATAATAGAAGTATAAGTCTGGACCTGTATCTGTACATGTATATGTATATGCTTGTGTATGTGTGTGTATGTGTATGTGTATGTAGGCATACATGCATGCATGTATGCCACTATATCAGTATGTCTGTATGTCTGTAGGTCCGTATGTATGTACTGCCATATATGTATGTACCATTTCCTCGACCCACAGCCTCGCGCATTTCCCCGACGATGTCGCTGGGAGGCGCTTGCGGAGGAGACCTGGCTCTTTGCCCTCTGCAGGCTGTGGCGCTTCGGTGGGGGTTTAGAGGTTCAGGGCTTCAGGGGTTTTTGTAAATGCTTTCAGGATATCGGGTGTAGGGGGTTCAGAGGCTCAGAGATTTTGGGGGTTGGGGTTGAGGGGTTTAGAGGCTTACTTCGGGTTTAGCGTTTCGGGTTTGGGGTTTGAGTGCGGTTTTTTTTTTTAAGTGCAATGGCTTCTTTCTGTGCACGAGCGGGCTCGAGCAGGAAGTTGCCTGCCTCACAAGGGGCCTACACAGGGTGTCCGAACGAAGCACTTACGGCCTGACAGACACAAAACAACACGATCGCTAAGCGTCACGACTACGACTTCTCTCTCTTTGAACAGGTCCCGAAAAACTACGACGTCGTAGGCTCACTAGTCCCCGTCGTACTGGTTGTCCCTCAGCTTCAAGTTGTGCCACCAGCGCCGAGCCCCTATGTGGAGCCCATCTCGGAGGTGGACGAGGTCGACGATGCCGCCGGCGGCCCCCCATCGTGAGTAGAGCATTTCGCCGACGGGTACTTCGTACCGGGTGTCTCGGTCGCTCAACTCCTGCTGGCCAATTGGAGATCGGGACGTTGTCATCAGCTTGCACCAGGAAGAGAAGATCGTCATTCTCCGAGGGCCACCCACCACGTGGAATCTCACGACCTGCTTCGCGGAAGGCTCGACCAACGGCTGATCTCCAGGCTCGTCTGCGATAACCAGCAGCTGTGTGACCTTCCACCCCCGGTAGCGAGTTCTCAAGGTCATCAAGGGTAGCAGGGAATCCCGGTTACAGAAGAGCGGATGGCGAGGTAACCACTTGGGACGTGAACGAAGACGAGGCACCCGATCCAAATCCCGCTTCCCTGTGGATGCAGCCCCAGATCTCCCTGTCATAGGTTCGAATTCCTGCATTCATGACCTCTGCATTGAAGTCAACCGGCAACCAAGTGATCGCCTCCTCAATTGCTTCAGCCAACAAACGGTCCAAGTGCCGTAGCCTTCGTTGACGAGAAAGCAGGCAGTGGATCGTTTGTACAACGTCCCCTTGACCACCGTGAACTAACATGCGGTTGACGGTGTCGCGGACGACGTCCGAAGGCCAATTGCCTCCACTGCTTGTAGTTGTAGATGTGCTGGTCCAGTTCATCCACACGCTGGGTTCTTCATCCAGCTCAACCATGGTCGTCGTCCAGGAGGCTGTGATCCAGAACGTCGCAGAAGTAGTACAGGGCGATGCTGTTGAGTGCGGGTTTAGGGTTCACAGTTCCGGGTTTGGGGGGCTTAGGGGCTTTCGGGTCCAAGGTTGGGCGTGCCAGGTCGAGGGTTTTAGGGGCTCAGTCGTCGAGTTCAGTGTTTTAGGATTGAGGTTTACTTAAAGGCTCATGGGACTTAGTAAGTAAGGTTATAATTAGGTTATAATTAAGATAGCCCCACTTAGGGGACTTATAACCCCAGTTATAGCCTACTTACTAAGTCCCCTGATCCTTCAAGTAGGGCTTAGGCGAACTTATTTCCCCAAACCCAAAGCACGACAAGTTGAAGCTTTCATAATGATACTGGTTCATACAACCCGACATGACATTCATGACATGTAAAAATGCTTGAGTTCAGGGCTTATTCTTTGCAGGCTTGCGGCAGTTGAACGTCCGCTTCCTCGATTCATTGGGAGTAGCTCATCTCGAACTACCTAGAGGCTCCAGCAGTTCCTTTTGGGGGTTCATGTTTAGAATCCTATAAGGTAATCCCAAAAAGGAACTACTATGGAGCCTACCTGGACTCGAAAAGTATGTAGAACAATAGCCTTTTTATAGGTTTTGGGCCATTGTTTTGCCTACTTTTGGGGGTCTAGGTATGGGTAACCTTACAAACCCTAAACCCTAAACCCTAAACTCTCAAAAGGTTTAAGCCTGAAACGCCCAAGCGCTGGGAGGCTCACTGCCGCCATGTCCACAGAGGAGATCTGGGTTCTTGGTAGTGAAGTTAACTTACCCTAGGGATCAAAACAGCCTGAAAGCCTTATATAGTATGGTTTAGAAGCTGCCCCCACCCTGTAATAGTGACTATAATTAGGATTATATTAATGTTATATTAGGGCCCTATTATACTCCTATAATACCACTATTACAGGGTGGGGGCAGCTTCTAAAGTATGGCCTTTGGGCCCAAAAGCCTTACTATATATGAGTCTTCAGATCCCTAGGGTAGGATGTGGTAGTGAGGTTAACTCTTGGTTGCTGAGTTCATAACCCCCCCCCAAAAAAAAGTGTACACTTTCAGTTTTAAAGTGGGTCGTATTATCCGGTTTAGTTTATTAGGATGCCCAGTAACCTAGGAATACAAAGGGCTCCCTTTTTGGTAGTGGGTAACTTTATAAGGCTACAAAAGGGAAGAAAGCTACTACTGGGCATCCTCGTAACTCAAGTTTCCAAATTCGGGTTTCCACGAGAACTAACATGGTTTGATTATTCCCATGTAGCTTAGGTTACCATGCTGGGGAAACTCTAGTGTCTAAGTTATAGACCACTAAAGCCAATACCGGTAACTTACGTTACCCTGCCACCCCCAATACCCCAAACCCTCAACCCCAAAACCCCCACACCCTAAACCCTAAAACCTTGAACCCCGAACCCAAACCCTAAACCCCTAAACCCTAAACCCTGAACCCCAAAACCCCAAACCCTGAACTCTGAACCCTGAACCCAAGCCCAAAACCCCTATAAACCCTAAACCCCTAATATAGGGGCCTTAATAATTAGAATTGAATTGTGTTTTGGGGCCCATTATACTGTAGTTATAATAAGGAATCTCCAAAGCAGTATTGGTAGTTATTAAGGCGCCTATAGTAAACCAACCACAGAAATTGACCCTAAACCCTAAACATCCCTAAACCCCTACATCCTAAACCCACACCAGGGCGACCGCACCAGGAGGGTGCCGCCTGGACGCCCGTCGGTGGCGCTGCGCGGAGGCCTTCTTCAGGGGTTTCCGAAAAGAGGGGACCCAGGGGACCCTTAGTATAGTGTGCGCCTCGGGTTCGTCTAAGGGTTCCGTGCTATAGGGTTTCGGGTTTAGGGTAAGGGGGTTTCCGAAAATAGGGGACAGTAATATAGTACCTTCAAAGAACCCCTAACGGAACTCGTAACGGAACCCTATTTGGGTATACATGGACCCTAAGGTTTAGTATACGGGAGTTTCCTGAAAATAAGGGACCATAATAAACGCCTTCATATATAGTACCCTAAATAGTAGGATCCTTATCATAAGGACCCCCCAAATAAGGTACCCCCATTCTTCAGGGGCTGCCAAGACGGTTTAGGAGTTCAAGGTTTAGAGTTCTTGTTTTTGAAGTGCAATGGCCCAGTTAGGGTTTGTCAATTGAGCAATTACCCCAAGGGTCCAAGTACCTAATTATCATATACTCTCCAAAATAGTAACCTACATAACTACTATCCTAAAACCGAGTACCGAATTATTGGGTCCTTTGGACCGTTGGAGTTAGAGAGAGGGGTATCCACAAGGATTAGGGATTCAAGGGCTTTAGGGCTTTAGGGTCTGCTGGTTTGGGGGGGCTTCGGGCTGAGGGTGACGTCGCTGTGTGTTCCAGGCGCTGAGGGTTCGATCAAATGGGTCCGAGTTCATCTTAGACCTATAGTCTCCATTGTAGTTCCTTTTTGGAGTTGGGTCACCGTGTGGTCCTCGAAATGCTCAGCTGTCGTGCAGACGAGCAACATGGGGAAATTATAGTGTGACAGACGTCAGTCTATTGAAACCGACTGCAAGTCAAAGACCTCGGAGGGCGGTTCAGAGACTAAGACCGAGGAGGGAGTTTGGAGTTCTGAAAGGACCCCTCTACCAAGCACTAGTCCAGACCAGAACGCGTTCCACAGAGTTGCTGCGCATCGTTCACTGCGAAACTTTCCCTATACTTCCGGGGACCTTATTATTGGGTCCTTAAGGGGTCTGGGGCCCTAACTATATGGTCCTTGGAAGCATAGGGTTTTGGCTGCAAGCGGATCGGACCACGAAACCAAACACTGTTTGGCTTGCAACTTAAGTGGGACAGCGTTGCGGGCTCTGACCATACATTGTCATATGCCCCCAGCCCTGAACCCCTACACCATCCTAAACTTTCAACCAAAGCAGAGACTTATGATCGCATGTTCTGCATGCCGTCTGGGTCTTGCCCGAAATCGGAGGGTCCCTTACACCCACCCTAAACCCGTAACCCTAAACACTATAAACCCCAAAACTATACCGCCTTAGAACCATAATAAAAATACAATTTTCAATATTCTCTTGGGCTTTATATGAACGAAAAAACAAAAAATCCTAAGACTATAGAAAATTCCAAAATCGCGACAGCAAAACCCCGAAGCCTAAAACCCTAAACCCTAAACCCTAAAACCCTAAACCCTATAAAACCCTAAAACCCCAGCGCAAGCGGCCTGGATGCGGCGTCGCGAGGAAGTTCTGAGCGAAGGTGGTCGTGGGAAACGCCTCAGACCGGGATCCACGCCCCAAATCCATGGAGTTCCTTTAAAGGGATCTACAGGTTCCTATAAGGGGAAACCTTTAAAGGGATCTATTGGCTCCTATGAGGGATCTATAGGGTTTAGGGTTTAGGGGATTTTCCGAATATTGGGGCTACCTTATTTGGGGTCCCTATAATAAGGATCCTACTATTTAGGGTACTATATTAGGGCCCCCTATTTTCGGCAACTCCCATGTAGGGCTTATAGGCGAAACCCTAAACCCTAAACGTAGGGTTTACAGGGGTTTATATAAGGTTTTAGGGTTTCTATATGGGTGGTTGTCAAAATTATGGTCCGTTTTGGGGTACCCTAAATATTAGGTGTCGTATTACAATAGGGACCCACAAGGGACCCTAATATTGACAACCACCCAATATGGGTTTAGGGGTTTAATTAATTATAAACCCGAGCTCGGAACCTTGCTGCAGCATGCCGTGCACACTAAGCTGCTAGGATTCAGGCTTTGGCAGGGCTTCTTCCTACCTTTGGTTAGTAGGGAATGGAAGAATGGTAGTACTAGTAGTTATAATTGTACCCCATTCCTCCCCTCCCTACTAACCACAGGAAAGTCGTGCCTGAAATGCAGCCGCAGCATGATTACCCATAGGCCCCATAGTAGTTCCTTTTTTGGGGGGATTCACATATTTAGAATCCTACAAGGCAATCCCAAAATTCAACTACTGTTAGTTACTATATGGGGCCTATGGGTAAGCAGTTCGGGAGGAGATAGCCGACCCTGGACCGAACCACCCCAAGACTCTTCAAACCCGGTGCCCAGAGACTCCAATATCCCTTAATTAGGGAATATTCCTTAAATTAAAGTAGGACCCCGAATATGATTTAAGGAATATTCCCTAATTAAGGGATATTGGAGTCTTTGGGTGCCCTAAATCACACACAGGCATACACATGCATCCCAGGACCCGACAACTCAAGCCCTGAATCTTACAACGCTTCAGCACTACTGCTGAACCTTTACCCTTAGGCTCTAAGGACTCACATCTTAAGGCTCAAGGGCCCAAAGACCATACTATGTAAGGCCTTTTGGCCATTTTGAGCTTTAGGGTTCCAGAGCACACCGTAGCTCGCAGAAGTTCCGACATCAGTCCCAGCTATCCAAGCCTGCAGCAAGCTCAAACTTGATCTATGTTAGTTCACAGTGTTCGGCTCCTCCGGGTGGAGCACGGCGCCTGGGCCATGCCGTCTTTGCTACGATCCCTGTATGTTTGGGCTAATTAGTTATTATGTAGGCTTAAGGATTTGGGGTGTAGGGTATATGATTTGGTTGTCGGCGTTGACTGGGGGGCTCTGCACTATAGGACGACTCCCAAGGCGCGAACACCCGTCGAAAGGCCCGAAGAGAAAGGAATCGGCGCCTGCGCATGTCCACGCAGCAGTTTCATTTGAGGCACCAGGGTCGATAGAGGTTTCTGGGAGATTTGCGATCCAAGGCCGGAGAGTACAAGCCGAACGTCTGTGTAACGCTGTGATGTTGACCTTTGCCCAGGGCATTCCTCATGGCGGCCATACTTGCAAAGCTACCTGGGGCAGTCATACTAGCTGTACAACATCCTCTCAGCAAGTCAAAAATTTCCCAGGACTTCCACAAGCTTGAGGTGCGAAAAGACGAAAAGACCAGCCTGCGTGGCAGCGTAGCCCTGCATTGCAATAGGGCAGGGGGGTTACTATATTCACCCCGAGAAAATAGGCCGGTTTGGGATGCTGAAGGTTTATATATATATATATATATATATATATATATATATATATGTATATATGTATACATATATAAACATATATATATATATATATACACATATATATATATATATATATATATATATATATATGTATATACATGTATATATATATATATATATGTACATATAGGGTTCGGCGATTAGGGTTTAGGGTATCATACTTGGAAGGGGCTTGCAATGCACATGTCAACCATAAACCCGCAAACCATACCTCTCGGCTTTGTCTGCCTTCTCTGGACTCTTGCTGTCATCTGAACTATTACTCCGTCGAATGACCCCGAACGCCGACTGAAAGTGTGTGGTTTTAACATACTGCCCGCAATTCCATATTAATCAAGGATGTGCATCTGCCGGTTATTTGGGAGTTGCCGAAAATAGGGGACACTAATAATATAGTACCCTAAATGAATAGTATAGGATCCAAAAAAAGGACCCCCAAATAAGGGACCCCTAATTTTCCGAAACTCCCATTTCGAGCGTCTGATTTGGGGCATATTGCCCTGCGTCTCGCTGTACGGACTAACGGAGTTGCTTTCGGGTCTGGCTTACGGGCTGCATGATTTGAGAGCTGGCTTTTGGACATCTGCATAACCACAACATGTGCAATGGAGGCGATGGATTGACGGCGCTGAGCCCAGTTCAGGGTAGCCAGCGCACCTTCAAAGGCATGAACATGACTTTGGTCAAGGTATAGCTATATGATATTCCTTTTCTTTCTGGTATCTTATCACCTTAGGATGTACTACGAAACATCGACGTCCAAATCCCCATCACTCCAAACGGCCCAGAGTCCCGATGCAGAGATTTGTTTGAATTGCCCAGGCCCCAACATACCTATCATGTCTTGGCTGACTTCTGAACCCCTCCTAAAAGTTAAACTTTTAGCCTCCTTGTTAAAGTGCATATAGAAACCCAAAAAGTTAAAGTCTAAAGCCAACCAGAAGAACGCCAAGATGTCTACACTTGGAGTCTCAATTTGCGAATGAAGGTTCGGGAGTGGTTCAGGAGGATTGAAACCGACAAAACCCGGATTTCGCAAAACTTAGGAAACGAAGTAGAATTCCTTTAGGGAGCACCCCGTGACCTTCCAGATGCCAGAGCCCACCACATCCTGCCGAGGGTGTGTATACGGCTTGGGATTTTAGGGCTTGCGCTGTGGCTTTTAGGGATTAACGATGACATCGAAACTATATGGGTGGTTGTCAAAACTAAGGCCGCTTTTTTGGTCCGTATTATAATACTGCACCTAATATTCAGGGCACCCACAAAGGGAGCCTAATTTTGGCAACCAACTACCCATATGTAGGGTTGAGAATGTAGGCTGGGGCAGAAAGATGTCCAGCGACGCAAGGGCTTCAGCCGGTTTTAGTCTTTCAGTTTCGTGGGCATGTTGTGACACAGAACCGATTCCGGATTAGGTCCAGTGGCTAATTTGATGAAGAACAGTGCGAAATCATGAAGAGCCGTTGCCTGAGTTTTGACAATGTAAGCTCTGAACAAGAAGAAGGGGTGGAAGCTCGTGCATTCTTTGACGTTCTATAGAAAAGACTAGGCTTTGGGTCTTTTAGTCGGGGCTAAGTTTGTTGGCTTGTCTTGTCCAGGGTGTCGGGGTCTGGGACCACCCGACTACAAGGATGCACGAAGGGAAGCTGCATGGACCCCCCTTCCACTGTGGAATGATTTCTTGCCAGTACTCTAAGTAAACCACCCATTCTGGTCCCGAGCTGCTGACAACCGAAGCCTGCATCCTAAGGTGTCAACGATGAGAGTTCCAAAACTAGCGATTTGGGGTTCAGGGGCTTAGAGGCTTGGCTATGTTGAGGAAACCAGAGCACTGTCACCACCAAGCATCTGCACTTTTTGATTTAACAGCAGGAACATACAATCATTCAGCGCATTCATTAACTAGCTCAACTACAGCACACAATGAACAAGCCATGAATTTCTGGAAATATAAATGGTTTGATGGGTCTAGGCGAACACTTCGGACCACGAGCCAAAGTTCCATAGTCCAACGGCCAGAGATTCCTAATCAGGTTCCTTGACTACCCAGCTAAATGCTTTAGCAAAATGGCTCGCTGCTCGTTTAACCCTATATAACCCTCATTACCTACAACTTATGACCGAGCAAGCCTATTTCGACAGGAGCCCAATTCAGACCTAAATTCTCAATCCCGAAACATGAACCTCAAACTGTAAGACCCAAAGCCACACGCCCGAACCTAACAACTGCACCTGGGCCCCTTTAAACGCTGCTCCAAAGCTCCTTTCATTGTAAGTTGCTAACCTAAGTAACCTCACTATGATGCCGAAGACAACTGAGGAGCCAACTCCAGGTGCCATCCTGGCTTTGTTTTTCAGGGTTTATCGTTTTACCTATAGACTAGGTTACCCAGTAACCTAAGAATAAAAAGGCCTCTCTTTTTGGTATTGGGTCACTTTATAAGGAACCTAGGACTACAAAAAGGGAATAAGGGTACTATCGGGCATCCTAGTAATTAGAGTGTTATACCTTGTCCCATTTTTAGCACAGATATGCACCAGAAAACTAAGTGCATCAAAAAGGGACAAGGCAGGTAGAGCTCAGAGTATACTTGTGGGCTTTCTTGGGTGACGCATCAACTTTTCAAAGGATCGTAAGGAAGGCCAACTGGCAGGGGGGCCGGGTTGGATTTCAATCGTTCAAATCACTTTGTTGAAGGGTTTCCAAGGCTTTGGTTAAGGGTTCACGGTTTTCAGCATGCCGGCATAAGTCAATGAGGGTGCTCTATCATAGGCATGGTAATATATAGGTGAAGAAATGCAATAGCCTTTCCATGCCCGCATAAACCTTCACCTCCCAACCCCGTCCCAGCTACATATCGGGGCCCCCTGTCGAGGTCCACCCAAAGAGGGGAAGCTGCAATATTCGACGGCCAGGATAGCACCGGTAAATGGGCAATTTCTGTTGACGATGTGACGCAAAGGGCCTCCAAAACTAGAGGGTATGTTGTCTAATTGACTGTCACGGACTTCTCTCGCAGAAGCAGCACTGGGAAATGGGTGTCCATACTTCTAAAGTCTCAAGCCCCGTATTCCTAGTCTCGAACGGTAACGCGACATCCATCTATGGTGTGTGTGCCTTCATTTAATGCAATGTATACACACACCTGCTGCATAAGCCACACCGTAACTCAACCGTCTGCATAAAAACCTTACAGTCCTATCTTTTATGTCCGAACTCTGTACATCAGTACTACGGAATCCCCAAACCCTAAGAGTACAGTAACCCTCAACCCTAAACCCACGGAAACACTAAACCCTAAAAGCACAGAAACCCTCGACCCAAACCCTAAAACCACACAAACCCGAATTCCTCAACCGATGCCTCACGTTTGGCAACGCCATGCCGCGGGGAGAAGCGGCCGCAGGAAGGAACCGAGCTCCGAGCAGCTGCGCCCAGGAAGACTTGGGAGTTTCCGAAAATAGGGGGTACCTTATTTTGGGGTCCTTATAATAAGGATCCTACTATTTAGGGTACTATAATAGGGTCCCCTATTTTCGGAAAGTCCCACTTAGGCCTCAGGATTCAGGGTATAGGTTAGAACGGGCCCCCACCCTGTAATAGTGACTATAAGGATTATACTAGGGCCCTTTTTATCCCGATTATACCACTATTACAGGGTGGGGGCCCCTTCTAAGGTATAGGATTTGGGTTTAGGGTTTTGGGTTCCGGGTTTGGGGTTTAGGATTTCGTGTTTAGGGCTTAGGACCGATCACAGGCGAATGATTTGCATTGCTATTGCCGACAATACTTTGGCCGTTGATGTCATAGTCATTGCTATGGCTGCCATTACGAAACTATTGCTGCAATAATACAATACCAAAACTAACTATAAGTATAACTTTGGTTCTTGCTGCCATGACTGTGATTTCAACTATTGCGCATCATTTTGTAGCCTTGACATGGTTGTGCGAAGTAGTACGAAGATACTGTGCATCTTTGACTCTGGAGCTTACAAACTTCGAGGTTTCCCTGGCAGCCTTGCTTTGATCAATCTAAGCAGACGATAAACGGTTCGGGGTTTCGGGTTTGTTTGGGGCTCTTGGTGGTTCCTTCATGTTTACATAGAAATACTTGGGCATAGAACACCACAACACATGGAATGTGAGCTCGGAGTACGTTATACGACATCTTATACCGTACTTGTCAGAATAGCAACGTCCATCGTAGATGTGGGCTTGCACTCGGATAAAGCTAAATCATCTGGTTTAAACGGTTGAAATGTGGTCTCACAAAAGCAATGCTATAGACGCCGTGCCAAATGTTCCAGACCGAAGCACCAAACTTTGCATCCAAAGCCTAGCATGCCTTCCGGAAGACCTTAGCATGTCAAAGCTCTGGTAAACTCTGGTTGGACACCCCTCAGGCGGAACGAAACTCGCAATAATTGGTAGACGAATTCATCCTCAGCTCTAATAAACCGAAACCCTCAACCACAAACACGAAAACCCCACAAACGCGAGGACAAGTAAAACAGAAACACGCGGACTCTTTGATCGTATGAAGCGTCTCATAGCTCAAGCTTTCCATCGATCAGAAGCAACAGGTCCTCGAAGGGTTTCAGCTTGTTTAGTGTTGGGGGTTTGGGGGTTTTAGGGTTTAAGGCTTTTAACGTTTAGGGTTTAGGGGCTTGGGTTCAGGGTTTCGGGTTCAGAGTTTATGTTTGGGAGCATGATGTTTCACGGTTACGGCGGTTTGAGGACCTAGCTGGTATAGAACCTTGAA